GTTAACCGATCTCTGCTAGGAATGTAGTTTCGACGTTCCTCCGTGTTTCCAGCGAGCATGTTACGCGGCCATTTTCTACCCGATCTTGACAAAAAAGCGCTGGCAAAAAGCCTACGTGAGAAATAAACAAATCACGTGACCGGCCAGCGGAATGATTAGGTGAAACAGCGAACACGTTACCGTATCCTATTAGAGAAAATGGTGCCAGGAAACGTATCGCGAGTAAATAATTTATCGCGAGAAAACGAACGTTTCGTTCGATCGGCAACATTTTCGATTTTTGCTAATGAAATAATTTATCATATTAAAAGAAAATTATTCCGTATTGGAAGAGGCATTTTCTTACTAAATTAGTATGTAAAGTTTGTCCACGTGATTATATGAGGCAATTTCTTGGTGAAAACTTCTGATCGGTGGATAAAAAGCAACGAAATAATTGAGTTACGCAAGTTAAAAAGAAACCGCGGACGAGATACTATCGTTAATAAAATTAGAAATTCAATTAGTTTATTAACAATTATTACGTTTTTGTGAAGATGGAAAGGCCCCCAACTTCGAATTAAAACTTTTAACAATTTTTATTCTACGACACAATGTTATCGAATGCCAATAACATGACTTAGTTTGCAAGGAAAGTTTTTGGTTTTAAGCAACGCTGATCGATTCTAAGGAGACGATGAAATATCGTAGTTCTAAATATTCACGTTTGTACCGTGTTCCTCTTGCATTCGGTCGATGAAACGGGGCAACTCGAGTTCCAATCCTTTGCATAAATATGCCCAAGAATGCAAACTTAGTCCCAGATACCGACATTTTGCCAGCGTAGTTTCCTTTTGACATGTTTCTCGCAATGTCGACATTGCCAATCCGAGGCACGTTCGAGGTCACCTGGATTTTACGAGTACGCGTCTGCTTGTTTCACGGAAAACGCGAAATCGGAGCTCAAGTTTCGTGCTCATATGATTTAGCGAATCTGAATTAATTCGCGAACTACGCGGCGAGATTGGTAATATCGGTATTTGATCGAGATTTTTCCTACGAAGGAAAAGACTCTGCCCTTAAACAAAAGATCTAAGAGTCGACGAACACATTAGGATGCACAGCGAACCCGAAGAGGACCGACGAAAATAAAAATTCCCCGAAGCGCGCTCGAAAAGAAAGGGAATTCTTTTTTTACTTGCGTTTCGAAACGTTCCCGAACGCCTCTCGTCACAAAAGAAAATACAAATAAGGAAGCGTGCAGGAAAGGAATAGTACGTCGACGATATACAGGCGGACGTAATAAAAAAATCACAAGTAAATACACTCGTGTAACGAGCGTCGCGCTCGCTGCGGAGGCCGTTGACTCCGCGAAACTTTCGCCCGGCGCTTTCATGTGGAGCAGACATAAAGGCTTGTCCGGAACACGGTAAAAAGGTACGCGACACTCACCCGTCGAAATTTGTCATCGTGAACTTCAATTTTACAATTCGCGCGTCGTGCAATATTTTCAAATTACTCGCTGCGAGGCTCGCATTGTACGGAATATCCGGTTTGAGAGGCAAGTTACGTAGGTAGGTGCGGAGATATGTAAATCTTCGTCGCGTTGATAAGATAAAAGCAAAATAAATAAATCAGGAGAAAGGATAGTAATACGAGTGGAAGTTTTTTAAGGCGTTCAAAAGTATTGTTCGCGTTGAAAAATATAATTTAGTGGGAAGGTGCATCGTAGGTCGGATCGACGATGGCGTTACGAAATAAACTCTGACCCCGACGCGATCAATTAAACGCCGCGAATGGAGCCGACGTCGCGACGCGGGACCGAGGCAGAAATTTCTTGGATCTTCTCAAGGAAGGAAGGAAGGAAGGAAACCCGCGATTCGTGCCGGGACGTTCTCACGACGAAGGTATCGTACTATCGCGAATCTCCTGCTGGATCCTAGGTGCAATCTCTTACGGCCACCTACGAGTAACCGCAGTCATTTAAATATGTGCCATTACGTTCCGCGCGTACAGCGGGCCCTTCTGGGACGTGGGACGACAAACATCGGGGCCCCGACGAGAACATTCCGCGGTTGGACGAGCCGCGATCCTCGACATCCCGAGACAGGGGTCCCTCAAACATAGTCAAACCTCGAACAACCGATTTAAGAACGAGTTCAGGCAAAGAAGAGCCTATAAATTTGTGTGGATTGATGAAATATTCAATCTTTTTAGTCCTTTTTTTAGTGTACCTAACCCAGACCTAACCCAGACCTAACCCAGACCTAACCCAAACCTAACCCAGACCAAACCCAGACCTAATCCAGACCTAACCCAGACCTAATCCAGACCTAACCCAGACCTAACCCAGACCTAACCCAGACCTATTGATAAATTGCAGTTTCTCAATAAGCTAAAGTAGTACTTGTTAGTCGAATCTTTATGCAGTGATACTTGTTCTAACAAGTTGTTTATTTTATTTCTTTTGCGCCCTAAATTCATAGTAGTATAACCTAATATTAAAAATTAATTTTAAACAAATTTCTTTACACATTAGTTAGTCTTTCACAATGCAGTCATTTTGACTGCTTTTGGGCAATATAGGTATATACTAAGTTTCAGTCTTTCTAGTGTTAAGAACGAGTCCAGTCGAACAAGCGCCTATTTTGAGTGGATTGATGAAATATTCAATCTTTTTAATCCTTTGTTGCGATCCATAAGGGTCAGAGTCACCCAAACGTGGTCAAACCTCGAACAACCGATTTAAGAACGAGCCCAGTCGAACAAGCGCCTATAAATTTGAGTAGATTGAGAAATATTCAATCTTTTTAATCCACAGTAGATTAGAGTCGCCCAAGCCTATGTAATCTCGAGTAATTTTCATGTTATAAAATTTCAAAGATTCCCCAGTTTTTTTCTAGTCTTAATTATAATGACTCTTTAATAGCATGTCTGGAGTTCACTTTCTTCTCCGATCGAGTAATTAGGATGTTCGATGCACGGAAGTTTATGTAACAAGTGCCGCGAAACACACAAATAACGTCTATTGTGAAAGAGAGTTAATTGATTGGGAATTAAACTGACTTTCCCCTGTTGCGTGGATGGTCGATAGAATTTTATATGTACTTTCCAGTCCCGAGAGTAATCTTCATCTGGATAGCTTTGGATCAATATAAATAAAGGGTAAGAATATTTAACAGAAATTCGAACGCTACTTCGGTTTCGGTATGAAATAGCAGTGATCGGATGTCCTCGATTCAAAAAATCGCGCACAGCACGCGGCTTGTGAAGAAGTCGATCGACGGACAGGACGATAAAAATTCAAGACCACTTTCTACAGCATTCGCTCCAGTTACAATCGAGACACACTGTATCTTTGTGCGGTTATAAAGCGATCAAGGTGCAAGATCATGGTCCGTCTAGAAAAGCGAACAATAAATCCCCGTCGCGTTTCTGTTCCCGTCGAGCGCCCTCGAACGTTTCGTTGTTTCGTTTAATTTAAGTTTAATATAAATTAATATAAATAAATTTCTGCAGCGGTCGGTTTACTCGAAGAATTTAAACAAATCAAAAAAAGATCATTTTCTGCGAACTTTCTATCGTTGCAGTTTTCGTATCACAGGCGAGGTTATGAAAAGATCAACGCACAGGGTCAACGTCCTTGCACGGACTCCTGTTCGTCGATTTTTACTACGACGGAGACAGATCGACCGCGAGAAAGTCTACTCTTTTGTCCAACGATCGAATCAAAGATTCACTAATACTTGCACCACTTTATAACAAGCTCTTTGATTTTTTTTTAAAGAACATTTTTATAGAATATTGAATATTTTTGTACGGGAAAAATTGTGGATAGATCTAAATACGAGTGCAGAATTTCCAATTTCAAAAGTTCCAAAGAACCAGCAGAAAATTGAGTTCCAGAGTAGAATAGTCCTTTGAATGTAGCGTCTACTGGTCGAAGGAAAAGAAGGAAGAGTTAGTTTATCCCCTCCTTCTGTTCGTGGCCTTAAACTCGCGACAGGATAGCAGGAACAGGTGGGTGCCACGATCAATGTTCCGTAACGAAAGGAGCGAGATAGGAAACGTCAAGTGTGTCACGCAAGTAAAACGTTTACTCGGTTCATTGTCGTACAATTGTGTGCCAATCCGTGCGACATTCTTCGGGTGGCGTTCCTACGAGCTTCCACTGTGCATCGACGTCACTTAACGCGCGGCTCGTATCGGATTTTATTGATGTTAATACGTTCGTTCAAAGGACCCTGTCGCGTTGCCACTCGACAGTGAGATTGGTTAAATTTACACCGCTATTGCGAAGGAGAGGTCGGCCTCTCGCAGAACTTTGATCCGCAGAATCAAATGCCTTGAGGATTAAATTGAGATGACACAGAAATTTCACTTCGAAACGCCGCGGCTGGAAATTTCATTGCTCGAGATTTATATGGGCCGTGCGAACGATTATCTTTCACTATCTTTCTTTCAAATATCGATCGAATTTAGCCTTTCAACGAGCACAAAGGAACGAAACTGTAACGTTATTAATATTGAATTTGAAATCTGCGTGTTTATGATTTTTCTGTAACTTCTATTATCCAGATGAAATTTTATTTAATTCCTGTCCAACTCAGTTTGAAAACCACCCTCTCCCTTTGTCTTTCTACGATCAATGTATAATGCAAAGACACACGAGACGTATTAGAAAACGAGCGGGATGTAAACGTCGTGACTAAACTCTCGTAACCTTTTTCCGGTTGGCTGTTACCACCTGCAGGAAAGACCGCCCCTTTCTTTCGCGCATTTAGCGTTTTCACACCTGACAGGAAAGTATCATTAGAAGTTTCGTCGCATAAACTCGATGCACTCTGTATTCAATGCGTTTTCATTCATGCCAAACGAAAGTCGGCTCGTGAAATCTGAAAGGTTGAAATCGCACGACGCGAGCAGACTTTGTCGCCGTAGAATCGATTAAAAATTTATGAGATTGCTCGAAACACTGTACGAGAGTTTCAAAAATGAAGCAAATATATATAGAAACTTACTGTTGTTTGGTGTTTCACGCTGTGTGCTGCACGATTGATACTTCTTGGTGCCAGGGTCCTATTTGAAGGATATGTCGTAACTGCAACAAAAAGAATTTGGTTTTGTTAAACAAATTATATTCCTATAAGACCACTAAAGGATTATTAATTGAATTTTGCGTCTACCATATTTGTAAATGCAAATTTGCGTTTCTCGAAGGTCGATCTGGATTCCGTTCTGATTTAAATATCAGTCACGATTGTTGAACGTTTTCGCTGGCACTGTAAAAGGTAGACAACGTTAGAAAGTCTAACGTGACTACGAAATTTCTTATAAAACGACGATCATCGCGTGAATCGTTTTTACAACGTTCGAAACGAGTCTTCGAACAAAGAAACAATGCACCTGTTAGAAGAACGCAACGTTAGGAATGCAAAAGATCCCTGGTACGTTGCCCGATTATCCGTAAAAATGACGTCTGTGAAGCGACGGTTGTTTAGAAAGTACGGAAGACGGCCGGAAGTCGCCGACATTCAAGGATTTCTCGCCACTTTCGGACTCAATGCCATCCTCATCGATCGAGGTATTCGATTCGAGTATCAAATTCGGGGGTCGGAACAGTTATGGAGCTTCTTTGAAGAGTTCCGTTCGAACAACTCCCATTGGAATCTTTTTCTAACAGTATTTAAAGAAATCAAAGTTAACTGTTTCTTTAATCGTCAATTCTGATTAACAATTATGATAATAAGTAGTACATCCAGGCATGCTTGACACATCATTTCAATGAATACTCGACACTTCGTAAACATTTCGAGTGAGTTTAATCGTTGCATTACAATTCAACGATGAAAATTAATACTTTGGTATCTCACGCTTCTAAAACTCCATAGAATGCACTTGTTATCGACTTTGTTAGCGATGATTTCGACGAATACAAGTTCGACTTTAACGAGCTAACGGAAATAAATTTTTGAAATCGTCGCATTTATATTAGCAATTTATCAGAGTTAATTATCAATTAAATGAAAAAGAAAAACGTGCGTTTTTATTCGAACGGATAAAAAGTAATGTGGTCAGCCGATCGAGACAAATGTTCCATATAAATCATGTCACGCTTCGCGGAGCCCAATTAGAAAATTCTAAATTTCATACAGACGCTTTATGTTTCCAGGTTTCAAAATCTATTTTCCTTGCAACTACAATTATTTACAAATTTAGGCCATTTTTGACTTTGAGATAAGCATCGTTTGGCTCGCCGCGAATGTAAAATCATTTTTGATCGTGCGATTTTTAATTAATTCCTCGACTTGCGTCAGAATCCAAGGGCCAGACACAAAACTTTCGATAATAAAAATACTTAAAAAAGAAAAAAATAGATTTCCCGACCGATCAATGACGAAAAACTAAATTGGAAACAGAAGGTAAGTAGTCTTTCCATAAATTACCGGGACATTTTTTCGCTCGTTCCGCTGGCTGAGCCAATCGAAATCCGTCGGGGAATTTTATATTTCGATCGTTACGAAATCGCCGCGGCGAGGCGAAATTCCGACGGTCGATTTTCTCCGAGTTAATTCGCGTTTCGCGAGGTAAACAAAAGAAAAAGAAGGGAATAAAACTGAATAAACAAGGCTTAGAGGGAAGAAGCGGACGATAATGGTGTTCTACCACGGGGCAAATCGCGGTTAACCGGATGGAAATTCAGGATTAACATCCCTTGGAAGCCGTGAGAGTATTTTCCTCTGGCCGGCATGGCGACCACGGGAACCGATAAGAATCCCGATTTTAATTTCCCCGAGGATGCTTTCGATTTCCATCCAGTGGGATGCCACCGACACACACGCGCGCGATACCAGACGGGAACGGTACGTGTATCGTTAAGGGCGGGACTAACTAACGTCTAATCGGCCAGCCTAACGACCCAACTAACTATACGCGATACGCAGCGCCAGCTAACAGCGGCAGCATCTTCGCATAACGATCCCTACCTTACTGCCTGTTAGTCATCGTTGAATCATGATCCAGTGATACACGACCTTCCATCCGGGGAGGAGAGAAAAAACCACGCGTGGAAGACTTACGATACACGCGATAGATACACCCTGCAGTTTGTCCTTTCATGCTACTTCCGTACGTGAACACGGTGGCTTACCTCGTGTCGGGTCAACAACCACTGTTCAACAGTTCGAATTTGGCGCCACGCTGGTCCCGACTTTCAACGGAGGCAAACGATCCTGCAAACGTTACCTGTTTTTATTTTATTTTTTGGTGAATTATGTTAAATCTATCCGTTTCCAAAAATCTCGAGGCTCATGGCTTTCGAGATTTTTTAAAGTCCCAGCAACGGTTGGCGATTTCAATTTGCATCGAGACGAAAGGTGGATGGAAATCGTTATCACCGACGAGGGCCTATATCGGAATAAATTAACGCGTACGAGGTCGGCTGGAAAACGGCTTCATCGTGTAATCGTAGAAAAATGCGTAATACCGCGTCCCGCGGTGCTGTATCTCTCTTCCGTGCGTTCGTGTCGTTAATGCATAATGCACCGGCGGATCGGTGCGTATACGAGCTACCAGACACGATCGTTTTCACGGCCATTAATCGATCGCAGAGGCATTAGATTAAAGGACGATCGTCGCCGCGGCTGCGCAAATTATGTCTCGCGGCGTCCGTGGATTTTCCTCCACCAGTGTTTTTCACCCTGCAAGAAATATAAAAAAACCGAAACGGTAGGATACCGCCTGGCGATTTCAGTGTTCCCTTTGGCAGAGAACAGGTATTACTTGAATCGTCGTGCCACGTACCCGCGAAAAGTGGAGCAAACGTGTGTGCGATCGGGGATCGAAAGATACGATAAAAAAAAAAATGTCGACGAACGAGTACGTCGGTGATCCGTCCTTGTTGCTTCGTTTTGTTGCAATTTCAAGCGTAGATAACGGTATTGTGTTAAATGGCGGTGAATGACGTCGACATTTTTATGTTTAGAAATAAAAATACACATAATGGGCACACGATCGTGTTTTCGAGAAACGAATTTTGTTAATTTCATGCTCAGAAATGTATGCAAAATATAGATCTGTGATTTTGCCACATGCTGTAATTGCTAGCTTATCGTTTCTAAAAAAAAAATGCCCTCTCTCTCTTGGCTGATAGGTCAACGGGAAATCGGGTTTCGATTTAATAAACAGTAGCTAAATACGCCGGTTCGATAGCCAACGAAGTTACGCTGTACCGGTTTAACGTTAAAATATTCATTAGGCGTAACGATAGACCCGATATACAGGGTATACCGTAATTTACTGGTCTCCTTAACCCTAGGCATACCAAGGATGATCGACGTTCTTTACCTTTCCATTGTGATATCACTATCAACGTATCAAATGTAACAAAAAAATCAAGAAAAATAGTAACTTTTCAATGGTATATCTCTAACGATTAACAACTTTTTAAAAAATAACAAACAACAGGTAAATAAAACTATCTTCTTTAAAATTAATATTCACCAAAAAATTTACCAAAGTTCAAGTTTCATGAATAAACAATTCTATAAAATCCTGACGATTAACAACTTATTAAAAAATAACAAGCAACAGGTAAATAAAACTTTCTTCTTTGAAATTAATATTCACCAAAAAATTTACCAAAGTTCAAGTTTCATGAATAAACAATTCTATATAACCCTGACGATTAACAACTTATTAAAAAATAACAAGCAACAGGTAAATAAAACTTTCTTCTTTGAAATTAATATTCACCAAAAAATTGACTAAAGTTCAAGTTTCATGAATAAACAATTCTATAATAATCCTGAATTAGTTTCGAGTCAAGAAACTTCCATAAAATCCTGTACAAAGTTTTGATCAAAGTTCTGACTAAATTAGCCTAAATGGATCGAGACTAAGGAATTAACGAGGACACCCTGTATTTTTTGTGCGAATCCACGCGCTCCTTTTGTATCCTGTACACGTGTGTAACATAACGGCCGTGTTGGAACGATAATACACGGAGGATCGCCATTATGCCGCGTTCACAATGCCAGAACCGCGAAGTCAGTGGCAATTTCGCGACAATCCGACACATTTCACGCGCCTCCTAAGTTATACCATGTTTCACGACGCATTTTATTTCCCGGTTCACGACCATTTTTACGACCTAGGCCGCGTTTACGAGTGTTCTTATTTCCCGCATTCTTTGCCGCGAAAAATTGCAGCGCGACTTTCGATATCTTCGATCATGCGTGACACTGGGAATCTCCTTTGTGGTTATTCGTAAATCACATTACACCGAGACCTGATTTTTACATTTATTCTCTGTTATTCGTACAAAATTCTGTCAGAAATTCCGACTCGTCGTGAAACAACACGAAAATATAAGAGAAACGCGCTACCAAAATGGCGTCCCTTGCGCGAGCCCTGTTCCCCGCCTAAATTGCAATATTACCAACCTATTGTGCTCCAAAAACCATCGTTGTTTCTGGAGATCGATTATCGGAAACGTTTTGTCCAACTGTTTCCAATAATCGACGTTCTACTGAAACCAATGCACGCCCAACGGTACAACGAACGCGTTAATGCTTTCTTTCTTTGGGACGTGAGTCGCTCGCGGAAAAGCTTGGCGTGAAAAACCTCGATAGAAGAGAAAGCCGACGTGGAAAACGGTCGGAAATCGCGGCAATTCAGCGTCTCGGCCTTAAGGAAACGTTGTTATACAGTTGAAATAAAAGAAACTCTGTTAATGTGGAAATATTCCCTCCACATTGGTGCTAGGTTATAAAATAGCTAAAACAGTTAATAGTTCGAGTCACAAAACCCGAGGAACTGAGCTTTGATGCATTAAAAAAATAAATTGCAACGACGAATATAGAAAATTAAAAATTTATAAAATATAAGAAACTCTGGCTGACAATGTCGCCATTTTCGTAACGTGGTGATTAAAGAATCGCTGCTGAGACGTTTAACGATTCGTCAAGTCTTGACGTTAGGCACGATGAGACCACAATTAATCGCTAATGGGTCTAGACGAGTTTTTCTCGCGTCTCTGCCGAATTCATACCGACGTCCAGAGGAGGGGGGGACACGAAAAACAAAAGGACCGAATCGTGG